CCAGTGACGATCCAGCACTGATGAGCGGAGTCCGTGCTTTGGAGATACTGGGCCATGAGCAGCAAGCACTGAATGAGCTCTGCGGAGCCTGTATTCCACAAATTGAATTGGAGAAGATCTTTGGCGCGAGAGAAAAATGCGTCTGCCGACGCCTCCCGCTCTTCGGGTGGAATGAAGTCAGCTAGCTGGCAGGCCAATGCAAAGATTACATTGAAAGTGCACATCAGCATATTCTCATCCGAGTGAGAAGGCTTTCCAGTCCAGAGCCTTGAGTATTCAGCTCTTAGATTCAGACTATCGATGAGGGGATAAAGAGGAAAGACAAAGGTCCAGTAAACCTCCATCAGGCTGTCTGCCGTTTTCCGAGGCGGAAGGACGTAGTTAGAAATTGTAGACGGACGCTGTATGCGCGAGGACTTCAGCCCGGACGAGGATGCCGCTCCGAGGATCGAGTCGGATGTTCCACGATATGGTGACGGGACCCTTTGGTCAATGGCGGTTCTGATTTGTCGGATGAAGCTGGCAGCACTGGAGCTTCCAAAGAAGCCTTGGGCTAGCCGCTCTTCTTCCACCTCGCCCATCATTGCGTTCACGCCATCTGTATGCTGTCTTGGGGTTTGCCGGCTGTCAGGAGCCGTATCCTGGCACATTCTATCCTTGTGCATACAGATCGTTGCAGCGTCCGGGTTTTGCTCGCACAGGAGACATGGCGAAAGAGATCTACCCGCGCTATCAGCGACGACTGATGTGGTTGGGAGATGCTGCCGATAACTCGTGGAGGGTGGAGCGGCTGCACTCGACGTTGGCGTTTGAAGCGGACTTGGTAATCGAGTCTAAGATTCAGAAGAGTCACTCTGTGAGTCCTTTTATGATAATGTCTTAGGACCCCAGACTCGGAGACGAGATCATTCATGCCAACACGGCTTACCTGCGGAGATCCTGCGCCCAATGATTGAGTACTACCCACCTGTGCCCTCCCGGGGTTTTCGAGAAGCTTTAACCGATTCTCAAGGCCTTTGACATAGCTTTCCAGAGCAATGTCAGCAGATGACGATTCAATTTATGCCTGAGCTACACGGCAGGATACAAGGCAGGACTGACCTTTGCATAGCTCGCTTCTTGTCTCCAGTGTAAATGCACTTCTCTCGATTTCCTTTCCTCACACATGGTCCACATACTGCACAACACGCGTCAGCTCAACGATTAGTAGGAGTGCAGCTTCGGAGCAGACATACCGGGATGGATGCCGTCACACCGGACCTTCCGGACGCGGCATTCATCGCACGCGACCGTGATCTTGTGACGTTTGTGTGGAGTAGCAGAGCCATCCGCTGAGGACCAGCGCTTCGGAGATGATAGACTAGTCATAGATAGATTAGTAGGAAGTTGTTAGCACATTCGCGTGCTTTGTCTGGGTCTGGCGTGGGGGGATTTGATGGAAGACGGAAGGGATTCCGGGGAAAGAGGCCACGGACAAGTGCGGTGCGGGAGCTTCGGATCCGATTCCGTGGGTCTCGCCGCGCTCGCTCACTTGCGTTGGAAGGGCGAGTCTACGTGGCCGGATGTAAATAGTAGGTAGGTGATTGTATTCAATCATTCCTCTTGCTACCCACTCAATTTCACTCTCCTTCTATCTTCTACTCGACCCTTCGGTCACTTACTTATAGTGGATGGCAACGATTACTTTCCGTAACCAGATTGCCTGGACAGCAGAGTCAGAGATGAGCTTCTCATCCTCTACGTTATTGAAAAGCCGAGCATAGACATGATCGCACAGCTATCAATCAATTCAGAAACCCTCTTGATAGACTACCTCAGGAGACTGACAACTTCACTCGACAGCGAGTTCTGTCATACTACTGGCATCACGTCCCCGAGGGCGTTAGCTCGGATGCTATTTCATAGGATTTTGTAAGAATGATAGGCACACTGTTATGCAAGGGTCATAGTTCTGATTGCATGGAACTTCTTCCAAGACCGTCGATCTTTCGCAAGCTGTGCGTGCCTTGTGGTCTATTACCCTCCCGTGGTTTGATTCGACCTACCCTCCACCAGCTGTTACTGGTCTGACCGTGTAGCAACAACGTGCACAGCAACAATCGGCAGCATAGCGCATGCTCCAACAATTGCACACATGACCCCAGCCGCACCAGCCAAACCCAATGTTTCGAACATTTCGGGGAAATAGAATGGCCCAATCTAGCCGCAGAGCACTCAAAGTCAGCACGAACCTCAAATTCGGCCATGTCTGCGAACTCACAAATCCATAAAGATGGCGAAACACATTAATGCAAACCCCGATATCTGTAGCCACCTCGCGATGGCTATCAATAGCAAAGGAGATCAGGATAGTGGTGATCACCTGGTTACCGAAACTGGCGATTGCCGCGCCCACGCATGGAGTCACGTTCCAGTACGTGGCCTTGCTGAGCTGGAACCCCCAGACTAAAAGACCGGCGATGACGGTGCCGAAGCCAACATAGGACAGCCAAAGACGGTCCGCTGGGCGGTGATGACCTGTACGTTTCTGGAGAGCTTGCAAGAAACGGTCGGAAATGGGACCGCTCAGCTGCTCGCCAAGCAGGCAGCCGATGATGATAGCAATGAACTGCAAGCCGATTTGCTGCGAGTCAAAGCCGAATTTCTCCCCAAAGGCAATGGGCATCTCGACAATGAGGGCGATGTTGCCGTAGCAGAAGACTATGGCATGAGCACAGGCGGGAATGAGGACGCGCGGAAGCCGTACGTAGAAGAGCGGCTCGACGAATTCGCGGGCCTTGAGGGGCCGGGCATTAATCCGTCGTGGGATGAATTTCTGGTAGAAGTGGGATCTATAGGGGCCTGCTGCGGAGTTGTGGCTGCTCTCCGGGATGTATAGAGTTTCTTCGCCCAGGGATAGATAGGCGACGAGCTGGCAGAAGTTCATGATGGCAAAGATCCAGTACATCCATTGATAACCAATGTGTTTCGTCACGAAGCCCATGATGAAGGGTCCTCCTGGCGTCCCGAGGGTGAGCATCAGCGTCCACCACCCCAGCTTCTGGGCTCGCTTTTCAGGTTCACAAAGCTCCGTAATGATGCCGCTGCCTATACCCATAGGTGGCGAGATAAAGATCGCTGTTAGGACGCGCGTGGCCATTTGAGTTCCATAGGTTGTGCAGCGAGCTCCACCGATGTTGCATACCATGCTCCCGAGCACCGATAGTATGAAGATATGATAGCGGCCGTAGATCGAGGTAAGAGGCTTCCAGAATAAGGGGCAGATCCCTAGAAGCAAGATCTAGGAGAAATGTATGTGAGCTAGGGCTTCCATGCACTTTTCATCACGCAGACTCAAACGAGACCGACTAACCTGCATCGAAGTCAGATAGCTTGCTTGCGGCACCGTAACGCCGTACACCTCGGCCATGGTGTCGTATGCCGGAATAATGCCTGCGGCCATGAAAGTTGCGACCATTGAATGAAAAGCAACCATCAGAATCTGGGCATTTTTCTTCCACTCTGGCCATTCCTGGGGGTTGCTTGCGGAGACACCTGACCAAGTGTCGCAGACTTGGTCTGGCACTCCAGAGGATACATCTTCGAGATGAGTCGCGGTGTTGTACTCGCTTCCTTTGACATCTGAATCAGACGTGTGTGGAGCTGACATGTTGCTTTTATCGTTTTTGAGAATGGGTAACAAGGAATCGTGCGGTCTAGCGCCACAGCAAGTAAGGAGGCAATGTATTGCCACCGCTCAAATAAAAAGCACGAATAGTACCAGCACCGTACAAGAGATTATGGCGAGCAGATTGGTAGTTCCACGTCTCTTCTCATCGCGTTGTGCTGGACCCTTTATACCATGTTCCGTCCGCTCTTCTCTAGTACCCCATCTACCCCATGGGGAAGGATAGGGTGTAGATTCCCAGCTGGAGCGGGCCTGGATCCGCACTTTGATAGCGCACGGCCGTCAGGTCAGGGTGTCATTGGAACAGCTCAATGATATACATTCTTGGCACTGGAAATGAGAGGAATTGTTTCCGACGAGGCTCAAATCGCGGCCAGAACGTCGCTTACCCGAGGGTATACCCGATACAACTGTAGAAGTATCGGGTCCGCATCCGATACCATCCTTGTCATCCGTCGGACACAATCCACTAAACAACCTTATCCTTCAAGCTCTCAGTGACTATTTGGTAGACGTCGTTCGCTCTCAAGGGATACACAGGGGCACCGTGGCCCAGCCGCTCTGGATTTGGAGAACCGCGCCGGTACTGGCGATTTGACTTCCTGCGAACTGGAGGAAAAGTGTCAATCTCAGATGCGATTCCTGGAAGATGGACTTGGAATCTTGTTTGATACCTGTGGAGATTGCCACTCCATTGATGTCAACACTCCCTCTCATATCCTGCCAATTCTTCCTTGTGCTTGCCCCCTCTCTCTGTACTCTTTCTCGCATGGTGGCTCGATACGGTCAGGAGAGTGTACCACAGCTCAAGGTCACGTTTCAAGTCTTGCTTGTGGTCCGTTAAACAAGATCAGAGTCAGGATGTAGAGGATCGAGGGGGAAAGTGAGGATTTCAGAAGAGTTGAAGGTACTGCTGTAACGTTGGATTCCCCGCACCTCGTCCGCACAGCATTGCATGCATTGCGAGGCATAATGTCGGGTGAATGAAGGCCGAAGAAATTTTCCGTGAGAGATTGCATTCTGCTTGGCCTGCGGCTTCCCCCGCATTTTCATCCAGTTTCTCCCCAGATCATAGGCGAAGGCGGGGGACCTTCCGCTTCGATCGTCCCTTGGCATTTCCTGCAACCCAACAACCATCGCTTCGAATCCCACTTAGCAGGTGAACTTGCGCTACCATTGTGTGTCATGAGTCAGGACGATCGTTCATCCGGGTTGATCTGTGCCCGATGGCCTCCATCATGCCACCGACTATAAAAGCAAGACGATAGACAGTGCGTCATGTCACGATGGGCAGGAACTTCGCAGTCGAGATCCGCCTACAAATTCAGTCACGATGCGCCAAAATATTGCCATTGGCGTGTTGGCGACATGCCTCACCTTAGCCTCTGCAACACTGCGAACCAGCCAGAATGAAAGCACGATCACTGTGGCAAATGACCGCCTGACCGCGGTCTTTGCAACCAACAAAGGCAGAATTGTCGACCTCTCCCTCGATAACCAGGACCTGCTCGGTCCTCAATCAGGGGATACAGGGACCGGTCCCTACCTGGATTGCTATTGCATCCCTTCGGGCTTCTACACACCTGGATCCACAAGCCCCACCATGGAGGTCGTGGAGGGGACAGATGCTACCGGTACCAAATATGCCGGTGTGATCATGAACGAGACATACCCTCCGACAGGTCAGCAATTTCAGCAATACTGGTTTCTACGCGATGGTGAGACGGGTCTGCACACTTTCAGTCGGCTCGCCTACTACAACGAAACTACGCCGTTCTTGCGCAACTTGCAAGAGTTTCGGACTCTTTTCCGGCCTAACACGGATTTGTGGACGCACCTGACGTCGAGCGAGGTTCAGACTGCTCCCCTCCCCAGTAAAGAAGCCATCAGCAAAGAAATCGTCGTTCAGGATGCAACTTGGACATTCAGCAACACCCCCGACGATGCGTATTATAACTCAATTCTCGGAATACTTCACCAAGTATACTTTCTCAAATGGTCAGTGCTGTTATTCCTTCATCTTCCACGTCGCACATGGCTGATAACTCCGAAGATTGGCGCGATAACTCGGTCCACGGTATGTATGCGGATGGGACCACGTCTGATGGCACGACGTACGGAGCGTGGCTGGTGATGAACACAAAGGTAAGGTTCATTTACAACGAGCAGCACACAGGGAACTAACTGTAATATTTGCTAGGATACATACTACGGTGTACGTTAGTGTCATATGCAAGCCCCCTCGACTAGGCTGACCATACTAGGGACCCTTGCATTCCGACCTCACCGTTGATGGTATCGTTTACAACTACCTGGTGTCGAATCACCACGGAGAAGGAACCCCCAACATCACCTACGGTTTTGACCGCACTTTCGGTCCTCAGTACTACCACTTCAATGGCGGAAAGGGATCCAGATCAACCTTGGAAGAGCTGAGGTCTGATGCTGAAACATATGCGAACCCTAGCTGGAACGTGAAGTTCTATGATTCGATCGCCAAACACGTGGTAGGGTATGCACCTTCAAGTGTTAGAGGTACAGTTCAGGGACACATCAAGCTTCCCAAAGTAGCAACCCGGCCGATCGCTGTACTCACGGTAGATGGACAATACTTCCAGGACAACTCAGTTGACCCGTCATCTTACCAATACTGGGCCGAGGTTGACAAGAACGGGAAATTCAACATTGACCACGTCAAAGAGGGCAAGTACCGGCTCACTGTGTATGCGGACGGTGTCTTCGGTGATTACGAACGCGATGGCGTGCGAGTACAGGCTGGCAAGACTACGAAAGTTCAGGAGACATGGGTTGAGGAATCCGCAGGCACCGAGGTCTGGCGGTTAGGCACTCCCGACAAGTCATCGGGAGAATTCCGCCGCGGCGTTGCTCCAGACGAAACCCATCCACTGCACCCTCCGCAGTATCTGATCTATTGGGCCGCCTATGACTGGCAGGAAGACTTCCCCAACGGAGTCAATTACACGATTGGAAGCAGCGATCCTGCCACAGATTTCAACACGGTGCAGTGGTCCGTGTTTGGTCCGACCCCGAACAATCCCGGTGTCGAGTACGACACCACTCACAATTGGACCATCAACTTCAATTTGAATAAGAAGCAGCTGCAGAAGCGCAAGAAGGCGACGTTGACCATCCAGCTTGCGGGCGCGAAGACCGCGTCCGGTAACACCGATGTGTGGAACCCAGCCGAGGAATACAACAATCTCTCGTTGGAGAGTTATATCAACGGCCAGGAGGAGCCCTTGAGCATGGTGATCGGGTTCAATCAGTCCAGTAGCTGCATTGTCCGGTCTGCCGTCAGTTGCTACCAGGTTCGCTCACGGATGGAGTTCCCAGCTGACTGGCTGGTGGTCGGAAATAATGTCTTGACGTTGCATTTGCCGTACAATGCCACGGACACGGAGACGGCGATTTTGCCTGGGACGGTCTATGTGCAGTATGATGCCTTGAGATTGGAGGTGTCATAAGAATGAAGACATGATCGGTAGCACGCAGAATTAATGGGATGTACTTGTACTTGCCCCACATTAGGAACCAGAAATCAAGAATGTGCTCAAATTTGGACTTTTGTTGCAGCCTGAGGCATTAATATCTTTTGCCTCGATAAGTTATCCATATCCCGTTGCACAAGCAATAAATTGAGGACGACATGCTCGAGTAAGACGAGCAAAACCATGAACAAACTTTCAGATACGCCAATGACGAACTGCAATGTTCAGTGCACAGTAGCTTGGAGCAAAACAGACTGAGCTTAGACGGTATGGGCTGATCATTTAATCAAGTTGATGAGTGATCGCGGCGCCCCTCCATCCCTTCCCAATGCGGCAATAGCCTCGGTTCATGTCCAAACCCGGGGAAACCCTCCAAATAGCCATCAGTAGTAATCTTCGCCCCTTGATTGGCATATAAACTGCTGCATTTCTTCCCCGCAAATTGAGTCCTGACATTTCTGAGACCATTTCGACAACCAGGACTCATTCAACTAGACTGCGCCCCTAGTGAGTGCTGTCTGCGCAGTCAATTACCTGCCGAATTCCTCCAGCCATGTCCCAGACCTTTACCCGTGCCGAGGTTGCAAAGCACAACACCGAAGACTCGGTCTGGTGCATCATCGATCACCGCGTCTACGATCTCACCGACTTTCTCGATGCTCACCCCGGTGGCAGCGTGGTCCTCAACCAGATCGCCGGCCAAGATGCCACCACGGACTTCTATAACCTCCATCGCCAGGAGGTGTTGGACCGGTACAGCCGTCTATGCATCGGCACGGTAGCCGGAGAGAGCCCCGAAGTCGTGACCCCCGAGCCGGGCAGTCTCAGCCAGGTTCCCTACGCCGAGCCGCTGTGGCTGCGGCCCGCGTTCAAGAGCCCCTACTACAACGACAGCCACCGGCGACTACAGAAGGCGCTGCGCGAGTTCACGGACCGATACGTCACGCCGGAGGCGCAGGAGAAGGAGAGGGACGGCACCTATATCAGTCAGGAGCTGATCGATCGCATGGCGGAGACCAATATTCTGGCGATGCGGCTGGGGCCGGGTAAGCATTTGCATGGACGGAAGTTGCTGGGGGGTGTCGTTGATGGGAAGGAATTCGACTATCTGCACGACTTGGTCGTTGCGCAGGAGCTGGTGAGGGCCAATGCTCGAGGTGAGTTTTTGGTTTCGACCATTGCTATTCCAGAATCGACATTTCTGACTCTGAGCAGGCTTTCAGGACGGAAACATGGCAGGCATGGCCATCAGTCTGACCGCTGTTCAGCAATGGCTGCGCAATGAACCTCTTCGCCAGCAGATAACAGATGAGGTCTTATCTGGCAAGAAGAAGATGTGTCTTGCCATCACGGAAGCCTTTGCGGGCAGTGATGTGGCTGGTCTACGCACCACGGCTCAGAAGACCCAGGATGGGAAGTATTACATTGTGAATGGAACCAAGTATGACCATCAAGCCTACCCTGGGCCCCACGTGCTGACTCCTGCAGGAAATGGATCACGAACGGCATGTTCTCTGACTACTTCGTTACCGGCTGCCGGACAGAGAAAGGCTTCTCGGTGCTCCTGATCCCTCGCGGGGAGGGTGTCGAGACGAAGCAGATCAAGACCTCCTACTCCACCGCTGCCGCAACGGCGTTTGTGCAATTCGAGAATGTCAAGGTGCCGGTCGACAATCTCCTGGGTGAAGAGCATAAGGGTTTCATTGTGATCATGAGCAACTTCAATCACGAGCGCTTCATGATGGCCAGCAGCGTCATTCGCATGTGTGCCACCATTGTCGAGGAGTGTCTGAAATGGTGCAACCAGCGCATCGTCTTTGGGAAGAAGCTGATTGAGCAGCCAGTTATGCGGCAAAAGTAAATCCACCACTTAGAGATCCTCCTCTATCGATTGTCGCTAATATCTGGGACTACAGGCTCGCTCGGATGATCTCCCTCTGCGAATCCAACCAAGCTTGGCTCGAGTCCATCGCGTACCAAATGTGCAACATGAGCTATGCAGAGCAATCGGCTCACCTGGGCGGTCCCATCGGCCTGCTCAAATCCCACGCCACACGCTCAGCTCAGGAGATCGCCGAACAAGCTACCAACATCTTCGGAGGCCGGGGTCTAACGCAGACCGGAATGGGCAGGGTGATTGAGATGTTCCATCGGACGTACAAGTTCGATGCTATTTTGGGTGGCACGGAGGAGATTTTGGCTGATCTTGGTGTACGCCAAGCGATGAAGAAATTCCCAAAGGCCATGCTATAACCTCGTCTCGGTTGCAAGAATTAACACTGAATGCAGGCATTCATACAATTTCCGCAGGACCAATCGTAGCCAACCCAGTCTGCTCATAGTCGCTTACTGCACATGTACTATTCTTAGATATATGATAGTCATCAAGAACATGTTTCACCATCCACTTAGTCGCTCTTCGGAGATTACACCCATATCAAATGACTGGCATTCTCACTTGACGCTAAAGTGCTTGAGATTAGCAAGCACCAGGATCCAAGCCTAGTGCTTATCAGGGCTATCTCGACTGGGACAAGCTCATCAACGATGACGAGGCCCCTGAGCTCCCAGATACTACAAATGAGAGTCGACCTCCCACTAAGATTCCAACCACCTTCCTCATCGACCTCATCCACAACCCAACTAAAACTACTCGCCTCTTACGTACCAAAAGTCCACCCCACCACCTACCCTCTACAATGACTCCCCCACCCCCCACCTCAAAAACCTACATCCTCTACACCTACTACCAATCCACCTGCGCCAACCGCGTGGTGATCGCACTCCACCACAAATCCCTCCCCTTCACGCACCACTACATCGACCTGCGCGCGGCCGAGCACGAGACCGCCGCCTTCGCCGCCCTCAACCCCAGCCGCAGCCTGCCCGTACTAGTCATCACCGACGCGACAACAGGCACCGAGACGATCCTCACGCAATCCGTGGCCATCCTCGAATACCTCGAAGAAGCGCACCCGGACCGACCCGCGCTCCTGCCGCCGCTCGACGCAGCGCCGCTCCACCGCGCCCGTGTCCGCGAGCTCGTCAACCTCATCACCAACGACATCCAGCCGCTCTCGAACGGGCGGATCGCGCGCCGCGTGCGGCAGATCCGCGACGAGGTGCAGGATCAGCTGAGCTTTGTGCAGGAGGTGAACCTCGCCGGGTTGACGGCGTACGAGCGGTTGTTGGAGCGGCACGGCGCGGACAGCACGTACTCCGTCGGCGACGCGGTGACCCTCGCGGATGTCTGTTTGGTGCCGGCGGTGGAGATGGCGGTGGCGTATCGCACGGATTTGACTGCCTTGGTCAGGGTCCGGGCCGTCGTGGAGAGGTTGAAGACTTTGGAGGCGTTTCGCAGGGGCGATTGGAGGAGGCAGGGGGACACACCGGGTGAGGTTAGAGTTGAATAGATTATCACTGAAATGAGTTTGAAGTGTGTGGTATACTATAAGTTACAAAGCAGCTGGTGGTGGTGGGAGCCGCTGCGTTACGGGATATATATGTAGCATGGAAAGCACAGGTGGGATAAGGCTCTAGTATAACCATTAATCAAGAATCTGCATTGGACCATGTACCATGAAAAGAAAGGAAACATAAATCACCTTTGAACTATAAGCTACCTATTAGTATTCACCCTGCGCAATTCCCGCGGTTCTACGGAGTAGTCCGTTGTGCTGTCCAACTCAGCTCCAAGTGACTAACCCAATGCGGTCGGCCAGGCAGCGATAGGCGGCGTAATGTAAGCTCATCCCAGCCGATAAGAACATCGCGGACATTTTACGCCACCGTCACTTGGACCTTACTTACCCCATCTACTCATATCTGAACCGACCCCACAATCTCAGCATACACCCCATTATGGCAGATGCCTTGAATTCGGATCATGTCCTGGAGCTTGCTGCGACGGCCATCCGTCAGGACGAAGGCGCGTCGCCCAGCTTGAAGACCCCCTACGAGGCTGTCGCTGTGATCGGCCATGCCTGTATGACAGCCGTGGGCTTTCGACTCGTCGGTCTGGGAGAGGACCACAATCTTGGTACGCGATACCTGCGCCTTCTCTGTCCCTACAGGCATATTTACTAATCTCATGGGCACCTACAGAAAGCTCGTCCGACAGCCCGCGTCTACCGGCCGAATGGAACGCGAGCACCAGCTTCGCCTTTCGCTACGCTCACTCCCAGTCCTCCATGCAATACCTGCTCAAAATCAGTCGACTGGGCAGCAAAGCTGTGGTGCTCGCGCTGGCCCTGGGCGACGACAAGACGACCTCGTTCGACCTCCCCGTCCAAGACTACATTTCCGAATCCGCGCTCCCTTTGTCCTCCTCCGCCGATCTCCCCAGCGCCCTCAGAGAAACATTCATCTCGCCCCCGCGGGTCCAAGACCTGATCAACCTGTTCAAGATCAACGTCATCCAGAAACTCGCTCCGGGGCTGTACAAAGAAGGATACGAGGATACAGGCCGCCCGTTGCGGGAGGTGCAACAGGAGCGGCCACCGCGACACGACCCCCTCCGAGACGATTCTCTCCCCCAACCTGCTCGCCCTTATCCGTTCGATGACCCTCTAGCCGTGCCTCCCCGCCGACCGATCCCAGCCGGCGACTTCCCTCCCCCGGGCTTCGAGGACGAGTTCGAGATCCAGAGACCCCCTCGGGGTTATCCGGGAATGGGCGGTCGGAACCCACTGAGCATCGGCGATCGTGATCTATACCCAGCAGGTCTGGGTCCCCATGATCCGATTTATGGTGGCGTTGGCCCGGGGCTTGGGGGCGGCGGCGGGGGTGGGGGTGGGATGCATCCGACCTTCGATGATCCCCTTTTTGCAGGCCGGCGAGGTGGAGGAGGGAGAGGAGGATATGATCCCCAAGCGCCTCCAGGAGCACGATATGATCCTGTTGGACCTGGGGACGGAGCACCATTTGGCCAAGGGGGGCGGGGACCATCCTTCGGCGGACGCGGAGGAGGAGGAGGAGGATTCGGCGGGTTTGGCGGGTTTGGCGGTGACATCATCTAAACCACACTTCGGCCCAAAATTATTGGAGGGGAGGGGAGGGGAAGGGGACATGTAGTATGACTTAATGACGAAAATGCTCCACGGGAATGACTGGCTGGCTGGCCATTATGAGGATGAATGACTGCAATCTTGTACTTAAGCTGTAAATTGTGCAATTGATGATTGATGGAATGAGCAAGACGGCTGGAGTCCTCTGTGTTTGCATTGCTGTGATTGTCTTTCTCTGTTGGAGTTGTCGTAATTATTGTTGTGTTGTAAATGTCGGTATTGTAATTAGATTCTCCGCCCGTGCCACACTCACCACCACAACCACCACAACCACCACAATCGAGAGAATCCCAAGTGTGGCGCAGGAAGGAAAATTCCTGGGGCAGAAAGCAGGAAAGGTGGGCGGTGTGGCGCACGCACGGGCGGCGGCCACTGCAGATATGACTGACTGACTATTGAACTGCTAAACTGCTAAACTGCTGCTGCTGCTGCTGCTGCTCTGCTCTGCTCTGCTCTGGTCTGCTGCTCTGATGCCCGTCCACCCTGGCAGATTGCTAACCTGCTACCCTGCTAAACCCATCCACCTCATCTCACACCTCTCCACCACCTCCTTCTAGCCAGCTCCCTTTCCCTTCCCCCCCCCTCCCTCCCCACCACCAGTCTTCCCATCCCAATCAACTCTTCAACTTCAAATCCCCTTTCATCCTTATTGCTATCGCCTAGTTCTTCTAGCGACAGCCTTTTGTATCGCTTTCCTCCTCCTCGTCCTCCCCCTCCTGTTGCCCCAAATTAGGTCTCGTCTCGTTTCGCCCCGGGCGTCTTGCTTCCCCCCTCTCATCCACCCCCAAAGAAAAGAATCCCGCCTTACCTCACCTCACGAGACCTTTCTCCCTTCACACCCCCACCGCCCTTCGCCGCTTGCTCTCGCCCGAACCTCGCTCCCTACCACCTGCAACTCCCCTCGGTGGTCTTCCCAATGGATAACAATATGGAAATCGATACCGCGCGGTCGCCCGAACCTCACCACCTCTCCCCGACGACCGACCCGGGTTCCATACCCACCCTCGACGGATGGATCGAGAGCTTGATGACCTGCAAGCAACTGGCAGAGGAAGATGTTCGGAGACTGTGTGATCGGGTGTGTCTTTCTGTCGATTGGATATTCCGGCTGTTGTCGACCAGTTCCTAATCATGGTTTTGTTTTTTCCCCACCTAGGCGCGAGAGGTACTGCAAGACGAGTCCAACGTTCAGCCCGTGGTATGTGTCCTTTGATTCAGATGATGTTTACCATAATTCTCCTGGTTGGCCCCGTCCACCTACGAGAGTTCAGCTGTCGCGACCGATCGGGCTGACCGGAAACCTGCCTCTCCGCAGAAATGCCCAGTGACTGTGTGCGGTGATATCCACGGCCAGTTCCACGATCTGATGGAGCTCTTCCGTATCGGTGGTCCCAACCCCGACACGAACTACCTCTTCATGGGTAAGTGGAGGCATGCGGCGATTCCTCATCCCGGGGGTTGCCTGCCCCTGTGTGCGTGTGTGTATGTGTGTCTCCGACTAACGCGCGTGTCCGACCTCCCGTGTAGGTGACTACGTCGACCGTGGTTACTACTCCGTAGAGACCGTCACACTCCTTGTCTGCTTGAAGATCCGCTACCCGCAGCGTATCACCATCCTGCGAGGAAACCACGAGTCCCGCCAGATCACGCAAGTCTACGGGTTCTACGACGAGTGCCTGCGCAAATACGGCAACGCCAACGTGTGGAAATACTTCACCGACCTTTTCGACTATCTCCCCCTCACCGCACTCATTGAGAACCAGATTTTCTGCCTGCACGGCGGTCTGAGTCCGTCGATCGACACGCTCGACAACATCCGCTCCCTGGACCGCATCCAGGAGGTGCCGCACGAGGGCCCCATGTGTGATCTGCTGTGGAGTGACCCCGATGACCGATGCGGCTGGGGGATCTCCCCCCGTGGAGCGGGTTATACATTCGGACAGGACATTTCGGAGGCGTTCAATCACAACAACGGCTTGACTCTGGTTGCACGGGCGCACCAGCTGGTAATGGAGGGTTACAACTGGTCGCAGGATAGAAACGTGGTCACGATCTTCTCAGGTATAGCTGTCTGCCAGGTTGGGGTATCGGCGTGGATGACGCGGCTGACTTTGGCTTTCTTCCTGCAGCTCCTAATTACTGCTACCGTTGCGGCAACCAAGCCGCAATCATGGAGATTGATGAGCACCTCAAGTATACGTTGTATGTGCTTTCGGGTTGAATCCCCGCTAGCTGGAAGTTGACCTCGCTAACACTGGCCCTCTAGCTTACAATTCGATCCCTGCCCGCGCGCAGGAGAGCCCATGGTCTCGAGGCGCACCCCGGATTACTTCCTGTAATCGGTTTCTTCGTTGTGATAGACATTTTTCCTTTCCACCTCCCCGCTGGCAAAGTTGAGGCTGTTCTTTCGTCGACTTCCTTCGAGAGGACTCCGGGGAGGATCATTCAAATCAAGGGATACAACAGCAGGGACCCGCGGTCTGGCTACACCGTTTGAAGTAATTGTATGTCCGTATTTTCTGGCCCGTGTTGATACCAAATTCATGAAAATAAAAAGACCGTGTTGAAGTCGGTTCTGGTGTTGCTGTTGTCGAGTTTCTAGTCTACTGGTTGGGGATGTTATGTGAGTCGTCGATGGGATCGTGGATCCATGTAGGCTTGGACTCGATAGGATACAGTGGAGTTCTTCTACCGCAGCTGCAGTCACAGAAGTTCCGTCCTTTTTTCTTTTCTTTTTTTTTTTTTCTTTTCTGTTTTTTGGTGTAGAATGCTCCGTGAGACCGTAGAGATATTTACGCAGTAATCTCCCCGATGGCTACAGCAGAAGGTGTGATGCCATACGCTTCGGGCTTCTTGGACCCCCATCATGGATCCCTCCCGCTAGTCAGGTACTCTGGACTGTGCAGCACATATTCAGCATCTCACATATGATCATGACTTTGGGCTAACAAGGTAGTTCCAGGACAAGTTCCAACTTCAAGCTGGAGGTTATGCTACTACAGTGCATGTTACTAAGTGACCGAATGAAGGACTGAAATGACTAAGCAAGAATTGTCCAATCTGGCAACCAAGTCAGGTTCAACTTAAAATGGACGGACTCAGCTCGATCAACAACAGTACCTCCACCCATTGTAATGATGAAGACGAGCCCACTGCAGTCCTCCTGACTGTCAACCCGACTCCCTCACAATGAACAACACCAGACCTTAAGATCCAATCAAGCTACTACATAAACTATAACTTAACTAACCACTGCATATTGTAGCTAGCCCTCTAGCACAATCAAACCATAGTTGAGAGCTCGATCATCTACCTCTCAAGGACCGCATCGCCCTCCACCCCTCCACCCCTCCGCTTCACACCAGATACCGTCCATTCGTTGCGCCCTCCCATCTCCCTAATCAACCCACCACCACCCCGTCCAAATCGACCTTGACATCGCGAATCACGAAGCCGACCCTTTTCGCCTCCTCCCATTCCTGCCGCATCCTCTCCGCCCGAGCGGCGGAGCGCGGCACGAAGCGCACCCGAAAGGGCTTAGGCACGGTATTGGCCCCGTCCTCAAAGCCATCATCAGACACATCGACGGGGAGGGGATGGCGGCCGGCCTCGTCGCGGGCGGGGAGGATGTCAAAGAGCCACACCAGCTTGGCCAGGACGACGAATAGGCTGTTCTCCGCCACATGGAGGCCGGGACAGATGCGCCGCCCTGCGCCGAAGTTGAGGTGGGTTTTGTCTTTCGCTATGTCCGGAGCAGAGGGAGAAGACGACGAAGGCGCCCACGAGGAGCTTTTCAGGTAGCGCGCGGGCTGGAATTCATGGGGCTCCGGGTAGGAGGCGGGATCGTGGTGGATCGCCGGCTGGTTGATCACCACGAAGCAGCCCGCGGGGATGCGCGCCTGCTTGTATTGCACCTCGGCGGTGGTGTAGTGGGCGGTGCCGAACCGGGTGAGGGGCCGGATGCGCGAGACCTCCTGGATACAGGCGTGGATGAAGGGCAGTCGGTCGATGTCGTCGAAGGAGGGCGACCGCGTGTCACCCCCGACCACGCGCGAGACTTCGGCGTGCGCTTGCTGGAGAACCGCCGGGTTGGCGGCCAGGTACAGAATGGCTATATTGAGGGCCGAGGCGGAGGTATCCGAACCTGCCTCAATCAGGGCTATTGATTCCGCAAGAAAAGGTTGCTGCGTGTTAGTTTTTGGTGTGAGAATTGGGCAAGAGGGGGAGGAGCCGCCTGCCCCGGGCCAGACTTACTGCCCGCCAAAAACGCAGCTTGGCTCTCGTCAATCTCATAGCGTCGAGTCTCCGTTTCCATGAAGTGCTTGGCGAAGCATGTTGGCGCGCTGCCCTCGAGGACCTTCTGCCGCAGCTCCTGCCACAGCCCCATCCAGAGGGAATGCTGGCGTTCGTGGAACTTCAGGGCTCGGGCCCGCCACCACTGCAACCACGTGGGCAAGCGGTCCAATTGCGGGATGAGGTCGGTGATGAACGCCCCCGGCGCGGTTGCTTGCGAGAAGTCTTCCATGATCTTATCGACCCGGTGGCAGATCGGGTCGTCCTAACGCAAGAACACCTGTCAGTGGACAACCATCTCCTCATAGGGTCCGGTGTAATCACCAACCATTGACGCCACTCGTCGACCATACGTCGAGGTTAAAATGACTGAAGCATGAATAAACAGTCAGCCCGGGGACTTTCGTCCCCACGACCCCACCCCCGGGAAGGAGTGGTGATGGTGATGGTGACGGGTACCTTATACTCACCTGAGAGGGACATTCGATGGGCTTGCTCTTTGCAGACGACTTCCTCCCCTCCGCTCTGCAGCAGGTCGCTTACCAGCTGTGTGGCTTCGAATTCCTGACTGGGCCGGAAACTCCGCGCTACGTTCGGGTGCAAGAGCTGGTGCAGGATGGTGCGCAGCCGCCGCCAGTGCGTGTTGTAGGGCATGATGGCGATGCGCCCGCCCGAGACAATCGGCGTGGCACCGCGCCACGGGCCCTTGGACGAGGTTTTGGCGGACTGTCGATCGAAGATCTCGCGCACCGCCTCCCGGCTGTTCACGTACACGAAGTCCTCGAAGCCGAACCGGATATGGAAGAGCTCTCCCTGCGTTAGGCCCAGCTCTTCGAGTCGCCGCCCGGGGTTGGGGCCGAGCTGGCCTTTGGCACCGAAGATGGGGTGGCCAAGTGGCTGAGGAATTCCCGACTGACGCCACCGTCTCCTCGCTTGGATAGAAGACCAGATCCAGCGGGCCAGGAAAATGCTTCCGGCAAACAGGACGGTGAGAAAGATATTGCTCATGGTGTTCTTTTTCTCTATTCTATTCTTATTGTGATCTTGGTTTGGAGGGGGGAGGAGACGGTAAGCTTGAGTGCAGCGTTGTCGCTTTTGTTATGTCTTTTCGTCCGTCGTAGGGATTGATTTTGATGGGCAGGACAGGTTTAGGCCGGTGTCAAATCTTTTCCTTTTGGATTTCTCTTTTATTTCATCCCATTAATTAATTTGTTTGCCCCTCACCCCCCTTCCTTCCTTTCCCTGTTCTTGGCCATGGACCCTATCGTTCTGCAGAGAATAAGCACGCAGCGGCTACAGATTCTACAGGAATGGTGCCATATTTATGATCAACTATCAGTTAGTGGCATTGAGACAATTCACACGCCGACCCCACCTCCCGATGAAAATGGGTAGGATCCTGCTAGATTACTGGAGATGACTCCAGCAATGCACACATTGTATATGGTATTTTTGTCCATACTTCCCCGAGCCATGACTAACTTGGTACCAGGTTATGATTTTTCTCATTATCAGCTCAGGTAGGATTACTTGTAACGGTACCTAGCCATCATCGTCGCCGCAACACCTGTGCACAACAATGGATTCCCAGGAAGGGTATCGTCAGCGACGAATGCTCCAAAATCGTCTGGCCCAGCGCCGATTTCGTACGAGTGACTTTCTTTCTCCCTTCCTCTCTTCCCCTCTTTCTCTCTAAATCTCTCTGCCTCTCACTTTCGAAGACGAACCCGCTAATTCCAAGAGAGCTTTTCTCTTTCCACAGGGGAGCGTACCCGAGCCGCAAAAAGCGATCGTTCACAGGGCGAGATCGAGGGTATCACTCATTACGACCACTATCCTCAGCTCCACCATAGCCCGGGTGCATCAAGCCCTAATCACCTGCGCGGCGATAGCAACAACGACAGCAGCAGCAGCAACAGCAACAGCAACAGCAACAGCAACAGCAATTTCCTCTCAGAGCCTCCTCCTCCTCCACCCTTGAAGCTCCACAGCGACGGCGATGCAGAACTCTGCTCATGCTGGAGCAGGAGGAGTGCTGCTGCCGCATCATCGCTACTGGAAGCGAAGAAGAGCTCCCCTGGATTACCCTGTGATCGTGGATATCATCATCACCTGCCGCAGGTGAACGAAGAAGTCATCCAGCTCTCGAATTTCCTCTTTCCTGCCGCAACAAACCAGGACGACGACAACAACAACAACAATAACGACAACAACAATGACACCCCTTTAAGTTTACACATACATCATGGCCAGCTACTGCAGGCCGAACACGCACTCGCAATTGTCCAGAAACAGCGGGACCGACTCGGCGCGCAGGGCAGGGCACTCCTCCGACAGCTTTCCGAGGTGTATGCGATCGGGGTCTCCCTGGATATCTTCATTGCGAGCGAGGCGTTTCAGGTTCATCTGCTGGGGGCGGAGAGGGCTTTTGCTGCGCTAAGTGAGTGATTTTCTTTCCTTTTCTTTTCTCTTCTTTTCTTTGGGGAGGGGGGTGAAGTACAGTACTTTTCGACTGTATCTTTGGGTCAATTATCTGTAGTAGTTCAGTATGGGTACTACTACGGAGTACTGTACAGTAATTACCAGGTACTACATGGAAGACTACCCGGCTACTACTGCTGTTTCCGGTAAAACATACTGTAACTACCTAGTACTAGGTACAGTACCTACTGTAACCTGCCGCTTTGACCTTGAAGTACTCGGTAGTTGTTGACTCAGTCTCCCTACCCTTGAATACGGATACCTCAAGCATCCACTGCCACCAGCCTCATCTGCGTCGCCACTCGCTATTCGTCTGGCGGAAGGCGAATGTGGAATTAGTCAAGACCTACCTAGAGAGGAAGTAATCCATGTAAGCAAATGTTTTGGTTTTCATTCCCCAACTGAGGCATTTGAAGACTGAAAGCTCACCCGAGTCATATTCTCAGTAAAGGCCTCCTCGAAAGATCACCCAAGTGGCAAGGAGAGTAAACCTGGTTTCATCGACGAGTGGATCGATCTTAAGCGAATGGACGAATCAAAAAGCAACAACAGATTAAGCTCGAGGTATCAACAAGAGGGGAAGCTTACATCGTCATCCCAATGATGGGGCCGAGCCACAGACCCACCAGACCGCCTTTCAACAGTAAGCCCGCGATGAACGAAGTGGGGAGTGCAATCTGGACGTTCAAGGAAGAGGTAGACGTCAACCAACTGAACCGATCAACGGAGCCACAACGAATGAGGAGGGGTTGAGAGCTAGCTCACTGTATAGTGACAGACCAGAGACAGAACTCCGGCAGTCTGCTGCATCTGGAGCCCCTTCATCACCCCATTGGCCCACTCCGCGGTAGCATAGACGATCTGCAGGAGCGCGCAGAAGGGCATGGTCTGCACCACCAGGGTCTGCACCTCGACCGAGGTGCACAACTGCCGGGAGATCCAGTACCGCCCCGTCAGGAGCACGCTGAGGTTGAGCAGTCCCACTACGACCGCGGTCGTCAGCGCGACGCGCATGTGCAGCTGGGCACGACGCGGGCGATTCTGGCCCATCAGCGTCGCCACACGCAGCGTCGTCGCGCTCGCAATCGCAAAGGTGAGCTGCAGCGTCATAGCCACCGTCCCATTGAGCACGCTCTGCGCCGCCAGCCGCGTCGCATCCAGCTTCCCCGCCCCGACCGTCAGCAGCTCGAATGTCAGATACTCCGCCAGCACCGTGATCGAGCCCGGCAGCGCGAGGCGGAGTAGCCTCGGCCAATGTGCCCCCGCGCGGAGCAATGAATTTGGAGACGATGACGAAGAGGCGGAGTCATCGTCGTCATGGGAACATCGGCTGATTGGACGGAGGTATGTGGCATGGGCCAGAAGACCGGCCCCAAGCATGGTGTCCGACAGAGCTGCAGAGACCGGCGCCCCGACAAATCCCCACTTCAGCCGATAGACAAACCACCAATGCAACGCGAGATTGACCGGGACCGCGCAACAGAGGACCACAATTGGCGGGTGGAAGGTCCCCTGGCTCTGCAGGAAGCGCTTGCCGGCCTCGAATCCTGCATGGCCCGGTAGGCTCAGCAACGACACCCGGAGGTACTGCGAGGTGAGAGCGGCGATTTTCGGCGACACCATCGTCCGCAAGATGGATTGACTATGCCACCATCCCAGGCCTACCGGGCAGCTCACGATCGTCAGAAGCATGAGCGTCATCTTTAGATACAGGGTGGCCAGATCCCACCGCCGCAGCCCGTAGGCGAGGGCCCCGAGGGTGTCCAGTCCGGAACACAGCCCTTGATAGACCCCGTATGCGGTGATGTTGGTGATACTAGCCCCGAGGCTGACAGCCCCGAGCTCGTCGATCCCGAGTCGACCCACAAAGAGGAGCCCCGCAAAGGGAAGAGAAAATTGAAGGTAGGACACTAGAACCAGCGAGGTTGACGAACGGACCAATGTGAGGGTCTCTTCGGCCACCCTGTTCCCTGTAGCTGGTGGGCCGCCATTTTCGAGGAGTGGAGTGGTTTCTCGTGCCATGAATTGAGGGTATAGGTATAGTATGGTCGGTACTAGGTGCAGCACCATAGCAAGTGCTGTAGATTGCTTGAAGAGCTAACGCTAACTATATAGTCTGGAGGCCTTTTCTTTGTGGCCCACTGGAGATTGAACACGTTCACCCTGGCTTCCAATCGATCGAGACTCGTACTATGTTAAAGAGAGAGGGCCAAGCAATAACGTTACCATTTTGCGAGGCGAAAAGCTTGCCACCGGGCTAGCGTCTCCTCGAATTCGACGACTGTTTCATAGGTACCATGCATGATGACATGCAGGGGTCAGGCTGACCTGTAATCATACATGATGACTTATAGTATGTACTAGGTTCCTATCTTATACCTCGGAGTCCGAGCCAGATATCCGCCGCTGACTGGGTACTAACTACTAGGTACTAAGTGAGGGCAGTATCCACCACCACCAACCACTACTCAGGGCTAAGTTACCACCTCCCGAGTCCAACTCCTCTTCTCCTTCTTCTCCTCCTCCTCCTGCCCGATGATTTTCGATCATTGGTCGAAAGCTTATCGCTGCCCAAAAGCTTGCTCAAAAGCTTGCTTTGGTCACTCCGATACTGTCTTATCAGTACCACCAGTATCCAATCATGCATGTTACAGATTGCATCAGCATGCCCTGGTCTCCGGGGTAAGCCCTACGCTGTACCTCACCCGAGTCGGAGAGGCCGGTCACTCCCCTCCCCTTCACTCCCCTTCACTCCCCTTCACTTCGCACTCCTCTCTTCTCACTAGAAAATCATTTTCATTCTCCCGTATTCGTTCCCCCCCCTTTTCCCCTCCCCTGCAGAGCTCAGTCGCTGAAACAGTAATCAGTACCAATTTCATGGATCGACCCCAGGTTGTCCCTATGCCCATCGCGGACACCACTCCCCAAACGACTCTGCACAATCCAGAAAAGAGCCAAGACGTCTCCCAAGCACGCTCTGACAGCCCGTCGGAACAGGAACAGGAAGGTGAGGAGGAGGAGGAGGAGGAGGAGGAGGAGGA